TCGAATTAATTTGATGGCCTGCTCCCAGTTGGCTTGTTAGCTCAATTGGTAGAGCGCTGCACTAGTATCGCAGAGGTCAGTGGTTCGAATCCCGTACAGGCCTGAAATTTTTTTCAGGTCTGATTTTCACTATTGCTCAAATAGTGCTTTACTGCGAAGGATCGTTCTCATATACGTCTCATAACCGCAGTTCACACATATGTTTCATATGTTTGTTGTTGTTTGATTTATCATCTACGGGTTTATGTCGAATTAATTTGATGGCCTGCTCCCAGTTGGCTTGTTAGCTCAATTGGTAGAGCGCTGCACTAGTATCGCAGAGGTCAGTGGTTCGAATCCCGTACAGGCCTGAAATTTTTTTCAGGTCTGATTTTCACTATTGCTCAAATAGTGCTTTACTGCGAAGGATCGTTCTCATATACGTCTCATAACCGCAGTTCACACATATGTTTCATATGTTTGTTGTTGTTTGATTTATCATCTACGGGTTTATGTCGAATTAATTTGATGGCCTGCTCCCAGTTGGCTTGTTAGCTCAATTGGTAGAGCGCTGCACTAGTATCGCAGAGGTCAGTGGTTCGAATCCCGTACAGGCCTGAAATTTTTTTCAGGTCTGATTTTCACTATTGCTCAAATAGTGCTTTACTGCGAAGGATCGTGCTCATATACATAAAAAAGGCGTCTATCTAGCCTCTACAGGTTCGTATAGATTTGCTTTATGTTGAGTAACATGTCCTCTCTTTTAACCAGAACTACATTGGGATATCACTTCGAAAATCTCTGCATGGTTTTTTCATGCCTCAAATATCTCGGTCTACCGAATTTGGTTTAGTACAATGGGACCACCTGGTCGCTAACGCGGAAGGGGTTCCTGGAACGAATTTAATCACATACGCTGGTCACACTATCGTGCTTATCATTTATGCAATGATCTGCTTAATGTATGTTTTCGATGGGCCACCGTATTCGTTACGGTGGCCAATTTACTATTTCATCTTAGTTGATATAACCAAATACCTTGTTACCCCCACCGACGCAGCACCGCAGTTTCTTTAGAAACTTTCAGCCTTTATTCATTTGTCTTAAGAATCTATAACCGAGCCAAATGACCCATCCGAGGCTTATTCCGGTTTTCATGGCATGAAGCAACTAGGAATATTTTTATTCCCCTCCGGATTGGATAGTAATCAATCGCTGGTCACCCTCTGGCTTTTCGTCAGCTTTTCCTGACAGTTCGCCAGTACTCACTTATGCTCCTGGCTGAAGAACAAGAACTCAACACGTTGACGCAGCTACGTCTCGAGCCTGCACCACTCGACCCGAATTGTATTGTCTCCAAGCCGGAGGCTTAAACTACCAAAAAAAAAATTTCGTGAGCTACTAACACCAAGGCTATCTTTTACCAAGACTTCGGAGACCTGTGATAAAAACGTTCTACGTTTTCCCTAGTTATTGATCGACAGAAAACGGAAATATTGATATTGACGTTCGTTAATTAGTTAAAATTTAACAATTATTTATGAACGTGACAAGATCAGTCTGTGGGCTACTAATTAGCTGTCCCAGCCTATAAGACTAGCAGTTTCCATGCTTCGAAATTTTAACGTATCGTTAAATTTTGAAACGTTTTTAATGATGTAATCTTCCTTAGAAATATTATCTCTCCGGGTCTCTCAAAATTATTTTTCGAAAAATAAGTACAAGTCCCTTTTAAAATCAGTTTTTTCTGGAATGGACCTGGTTTGCTCGTGGTCCATCTCACGGAATTGTTCATGTCATCATTGGAGATTTTTATTTCTTAGCTTTTTGATTTGTATTTTTACTTCATAAACCTCTGTTCCTTGGTGTGGGCGTCTTGCATGGATCATAGTATCCCATTCGCACCTTTCCCTTTTGTACGATGTTGATTCCTAGTGTCTCAGGCCATTTTGAAGCGTTTTCGGCGAGTTAGCGCTATGTTGGTGTTCAACTGCTAAAAGAAAGCAGTTGAACACCAACATAGCGCTGTGTTGTGGTATATCTTTGTGCAGTGCCTATCCAGGGTGAATTGGGGGGAGGGGTGGTGCCTCGCATGGACCTTGTGTTCCGTTCGCACAAACCCTTCTGGGTCTAGTCACACCCGGTAAAGTCGTTAAAACACACTTGTAAACAGGACAATACCTACCTACGTAAATCTTTTCCCATCTAACAATGTGGGAAGCTTACAGCT